AATAAGATAGGCCAGCTAGGTATGCAAAAAGACAGACTGAATACCATACCAAATACAATGAGATATGCAAATAGTAATATAACGAAAAACTCTAGTGAATCTCTAAAGGTATGGTATTGAAAAGACGACATTAATAAGTTGTTGGGACACAAACTTGATATTGACAGCAGTCTATTGAATTTACCAATACCACGTCAAGATGTTGAATAATCGGTTATCAAAATGTTTAGAAACAAATGAATTACTATCAGATGAACAGAACGATTTTAGAAAGAACAGAAGTTGCTTAGACCACCAGTATATTGTACTCTGTTTTGAATAACAGAAAGATCAAGAAAAAATCCAATGCTGTATGCTTTTATGGGCTAAGCTAGAACATTTTGGTATAAATGGATGTTTTTTAAATGCTATCAAATCATTATATTTTAACTATGAATGTAGAATTAGAGTAAATCGTGTTTTAACGCCACCCATGGATATGAAGCAAGGTCTGAAACAAGGTTGTAATGCCTCGCCAACAATCTTTTCTATTTACATAAATGATTTAGCAAAAGATATTAATGATTGTAAATGCGGTATAGATATTGAATCATGTATTATCTCCATACTTCTGTATGCTGATGACATTGCCCCCAATGAAAATTATATGCAACGGATGCTAGATGTTTTAAATAAATGGTGTAAAAAGTGGAAGATCGAAGTTAATCAAGACAAAACTAACATAGTCCATTTTAGAAAGAACTCCACCCCTATTACTGATTATACATTTTTATGTGGTAACATAACTGTAACTTTGAATAGCAAATATAAGTTCTTAGGACTCTTGTTTGAGTAACATTTAGATTTGCATTTTGTTGTCAGAGAACTCTGTAAATCTGCTAGTAGAGCACTTACAACCTTATGTATAAAATATTCTTTAATTGAGCCAATTCTTGTTTATGGATGTGGATTATAGGGTATAAAAAAATACCGAGAGGTTTCTGTCATACTACATAAGGCAAGTAGATATTTTCAAGGAGCCTCCCGTCGAGCAAGTAACTTAGCACTCAAGAGGTGATATGGGATGGCACTCTTGCAATGTAAGTCAAGTTTTAGAAACGACACGTTTATTTTTAAGAATGAAGTATTATGATGATAACAGACTCATGAAAAACGTGCATCAAGGGTCCGTTAGTTTGAGCAGTGAAAGAAAAACTGATTATTTCAGATGTTGATGAATGGTATGAATCTACATGGAATGATAATGGTAATATAAATGGGAACAAGTTGAGAAATTACAGAACTTTTAAATCAAATTTAATACCGGATTCATATGGCAAGCTTGTTAAACAAAAGAGCAAAAAAGTGTCCTTTTTAATTTTAGATGTTGCTCTCTACCTCTAGCAGTGGAAACTGGCAGATACGCCAAACCTGTGATTCCACTAGAGTAACGCTTGTGTAAGATATATTCAAATGTTAATAACTGTATAGAGGATGAATTACACTTTTTTAATTGAATGTAATGTATATAATGACATAAGATCATCCTAATTTAATATAGCAAATAATATAAGAAATGATTTATCAAGTCTTAATAACACCGACAACTTTAATTTGATAATGTCTTCCGAGGAATTACAAATTCCACTTGCAAACCACTTATATAGTATGTACAGAAAACGTAGCAGTCTATGTGATTAATCATAATTTTAAACAGTGTCTTGTTAGCAATTTTAGGCGGAATATCACATACAATTATTTTTTCTGTTTCATGCATTTGTTAAATATGATACCAGGTGTCAATCAGAAAGAAAGAAAAAATATGAAAATAATCTTCCGTTTAAATTATAATTAGCTACTAGCTAGATAGTGTGAATTTAGCAGACCTCGCTGGTAGGGGGCTCCCCAACCCTTGAAAACCTAAATTTCACTATAATGTAGAACTAGGAAAGTATTCATTTTATTTATCACCATTATATTGTTATTGGGTTTTTTAAAGACATCATGTTTTAAGGCAGTACATGTAAGAGAAACCTTTTAATTATTATAGAATATAATATGTAAGTACCAAATCCAGAAATCTTGTAAGGAAGGGGCTGTCCCAATCACCTGCTCTCTCGATTGGAACATGTGATAGTTTGTTTTAATTTATTATTTTATTACGTATTATAGCTGTTCTTAATGTCAAAATTATGATATGGTCTAAATATTTTGACATTAAGATGATTAATATCTGTTAGGTAACTATATGTTTTTATACTGTGTAACAATATACTTGTGCTATGTAATTGTGATATATTACACAATAATAAACAATATTGACTTTACCTGACTTGCCTTGTATTTATAGTGCGTTCATAGTTCTCAACGAAGGACTTGTACCATACTGTGAGAGAAAAAACAACAAATATCAACGCGTGTATCATTGTTACGTTGTGATAGTTTTGGTGGGTACATGTATCGTCTTTCCATTGTAAACTAATCAGTATTACATACCCCGCCTCATACACACATACACACAAACACACATACACACATACACACAAACACACATACACACATACAAACACACATACACAAACACACCTACATGCAAACACACATACACACATACACACAAACACACATACACACATACACACAAACACACATGCACGCAAACACACATACACACACACACACAAACACACATACATACACACATATACACATACAAAGACACATACACACACACACATACACACAAATACACACACACACATACACACAAACACACATATACACATACACACAAACACATACACTCATATACACACAAACACACAAACACATGCACAAATACACACATACACATACAAACACATACATACATATAAACACATACACACAAACACACACATACATACACACACAAACACACATACACACAAACTCACACATACACACATACACACACACACATACACACAAACACACATACACACGTTAACTCCTATTCTACCAAACAAACACAACAGAAGTTTTGTCACGATGTTGTTAAAAGTGTAAACACTTAACTCAATCACAGTCTTATTACTTTTTTATTGAGATTGCATCAGACACGCAAGGTATTTTCCTTTATTGATTGTGTACTCCAGCCAATCTTTCCATGAGAGCCTAGGAAATGGTAGTTAGACGTTTGGTTTGGTATTATTTTGTTTAACGTCTTGTTAACAACTAAGGACATTAACGGACTTGCGTCAATGTAATTTAAGGTGGGGATATATATAAGATCTCAAATATTGCAATGTAGATGGCCCAAATTAACCGCCTGTTACCATCATGCTGTGGGTAGCAGAAGGTGTATATTGTTCCTGTTTCCGGCATACATGCACGCTTAAACACCACACATGGAGGCACGTCCGTGAATGACCTAAGATGTTAATAGGACGTCTAACAAAATGAAACCAAACCAAAATGTATTTTATTTTCCTCGATACCCAACCTGCAAGGTTCGTCCATCGTGTGTAAACAATCACATTTTCGACTTTTCCCAAAAACTGTATTCATTAGCCCCACGGCAGAGATCAGATCTAATATATATTCAGGTGACTCATAGGGGCAGCGCAATAAGTGATCACATAATCATTCTCGGGTTACCTTTAATGCCAATAGACCTCTTGATGGTACATGTATTGTGTAATAATTTTCTACACTTAACTGTGTATAAATACCTTGTCACAATCAAAAGATAATTCATTTTCCCCTTAGAATTCGTTCAAATGAAAATAGATCAATTAAAAAATGAATAAAACGTATCGAAACGAAAGTTGAGCGATTGGAAATTCCATTTTTTCATTAACAATTAACGGTTAATCTATTGCCAAGCTGCAATGATAAACATCTGCAAAACAGATCCTGTATATGAGCACGTTTGTGGTTTTCAGTGAGGGATACATTTAATTGTGTCAGGTGTCCTCGACAGATACCAACGCGGGTAGGCCACCATTATACTTTCTGGTGTTGTTGGTGGTACGACGTTCATGTTTGTATAATCAATGTAACATTGTAACGATTTTGACGAACGCATCATCTGTAAATCCAATTGAGGTATAGTTTTTATTTAACTTGAGATAGAGTATTTACGAATCAGGCATTCCACGGTAGTATCACAATTATAGAATCCTGTGCTTGGTTTGGTGCCTACAGCATGGTATGTAAATGAGATACTCTATAAAATCGGCATCAGATCCGACATACATTTTATCACAGGGAGGCAAATACATCAACATACTCGCCTCCCACAAACATGGAGGCACGTCCTTAAATGACTTCGGCTGTTGATAGGAACTCCTATTCAACCAACATCAGAGGCTTCATCCTGTCTCCATTCACTACGCTCTTGAGTTGATGTTGCTAATTGTTTGAATTTGTGAGAGGGGCGAGGTTGGGTTGGCGGGGAAAAATATATGCATACATTATATCTCGAAGAAAAGTATATGTAAACTGTATTATGAAAGTGTGTCAACAAATGATACGACAAAATGAAGACCACTCGGACCTGGGTTCTGGAATTATTAGTTACCATCTTGTGCACGTACGGACATTATATTTGATAATTATGGGTGATCGGTATATACGACAATATCTATGGTACATTAAGCCAGGACAAGCGTTCATTATGCACATGGGAGCACATTCTTAAATGATCGTATCTGTTAATAGGACGCTATATCCTATATAGAACCGAACCGAAAGATGTTTATCAATTACGTCAGACTTGTAATGATTAAAAAAAAAAATGATTTAATTGAAATTCCTAAAACTAATTGCCATATTTTGTTTCAAACGTCGACTCATTCAAATAGCATGCTAAAGTGCCTATTGAATGTACATGTATAAGCATTCACCTGTAAGTCAATACGTTACATATATAGCTAGACCCTATGACGAAACGAAAATAGGAAATTCCGGCTTTTTTAATGACGATATATAGTATTTCTTATCGCCGAACTACGTTTCTGTAAATAATCATGTATTAGAGGGTGTATATAGTGTACAGTGAAGGACTAGTTCTATTTTGTCAGGGGCAAACGGCAAATATTAACGCAGGAACCAGGTACAGGTAAGTTGTACGGATATCTGTAATCTTTAATGTCTAACATTTCAACAGGTATTGATATGACAATGAACTCCTATTGACGTAAATGTAAAGAGTAGGATCTGCTTCAATTTGTTGCCTTCTGCCACCGGTTGCTCAGTATAAAAACCAAAAACACGGACAAGTTGTGTATTCCATCATGTTTCTTTCACTATCTCCGAGAAACCTACACTACAGGACAATACAATACATATACTCACCTCAAATATACATACAATACATACTAAACAACTTCTGCGTAGGTGTAGAGTTGGTTACACGTTCTGGCAAGAAAGTAATCGGGAGTTACACATGTAGGGTCCTGATCAAGTCTGCCCCCGGTTCCCTCTGTACATCAAATACTTGGACGTCCTAGTTAGGTTTACGTTTCACAAGATACGGAACTTCCTCCCACTTGTCGGCGATCTTGTGCTTACCGTCGAACTCGACAACCTTTACCAAAAACTCTGTCGCCTACCGTGAGAGTAGCTCCACGTACGTTAGTGTCGTATTTCGTCTTTTGTCTTGTTTTGGCGTAGTTGGAACTTGATGACGCAAGTGTGTAGGCATTCTTGAGTCGTTGTCTTAAAGATTTCTACATATGCCGTCATTGTTCCTGTGGGGTTTTTGCGTTAATACTCCAAATGCTAAATCCACTGGGATCCATGGATTTCTCCTAAACATAAGGAAATAAGGCGTCTGTCCTGTTGATTCCTTTGAGTGTAGTTGTATGCATGCACCAACACTGCAGTATTATACTTTCAAACTTTTTTGCGCTTTCCTGATAACGTTACAAGCATTCCGATGAGTGTCCGATTAAAGCGCTCACATAGTCCGTTACCCATAGGATGGTATGGCGTAGTGTTCGACTTCTCAATCCTTGCCACGGTACACAGTTCCTTCATCAGATCACTCATGGAATTCTGTCCTTGGTCCGTGTGAATCCGTTGCGGTAGTCCATAGTGGAAAACAAAGTTGTTGAAAAATACTTCCGCAACTGTACGGGCCTTTTGATTCGCGACAGCATACCTAGTAAAATGGTCTGTGATGACTAGGATACTGTCATTCCACCCTTGGACTCCAAACTTACAAAGTCCATACACACAAGTTCAAGAGGCTGACAAGTCCTAAAACTTACCAATGATGCTCTGATGTTAGTTGGTATCTTCATGCGTATGCATCTTCTCTCACAATGCTTAACCCACTTTTCCACATCTCGTCCCATGCCAACCCAGTAAAATCGATCATGGAGCGGTGAAAGTGTCCGGTTTCGTCCTTGGTGTCCCATGTCGTTATGCACCATGGTGATGACTGTGGCAATCTTGCATCGGGGTAACACCAGCGTAGTAATCACTTCCCCATTCCGCTTAGTCTCTCTACAAAGTACACCATCCTTCAGTCTGAGCTTCTCAAAATTCTTCAAAATTACTGAGTGTTCTTGTGAAGGAGGGAGATTTTGTCGCTTTGGTCGAATACCAGCTTTGACGAGCGGAATCCATGTATATAACACAGGGTCTTGACCTTGAGCGGCGATCATGTCCACCGTTTTTAGTAGCATCTGGGTCACTAATGGCATCTAAAGTAGCTGCTGACATAGAAAGAGTGTCGATGAAAGTGTTGCCGTGTATCCCATTGTTAATGGCCTTAATAGTTTGGTTGGAAATTATGCCTAAATCTGTGTTATCTTCCAACAAGGGATGTCGTGATATCGCATCCGCATCTGCATTGCTTGTACCTGGTCGATACACAATGTCAAAATCATACAATCCCAGAGCCGCTACCCATCTCTGTGATGTCGCGTCTAATTTCGCAGATGTCAGTACATACGTCAGCGGGTTATTATCTGTAAGCACGGTAAAATGTCGTTCAACCAAGTAATCCCCAAACTTCTCAGTCACTGCCCACTTCATCGCAAGAAATTCTAATTTGTGAGCTGGGCATCTTTTCTCTGACTTAGACATTTCACGGCTTGTATATGCAATGACTCTCTTGCGGTTGTCCTGTTTTTGGTTAAAGAATGGCACCTAAACCCAACAGCGATGCATCAGTGTACAATTCAAAAGGTTTGCTGAAGTCTGGATAACCCATTATCGGAGGTCCGGAGAGGCATGTCTTCCGAGCTTCTTACGCTTCTTCCTGCTCCGTCTCTCATGTCCAGGACTGCACATTCTGACCCATCTTTTTCCACCTTTTGAAGTCTTCGTTAGTACCGGCATCATAATAGTTAAGGGCTTGACTACCCGGCTGAAATTCTTTATGAACCGCCGGTAGTACCCAGTTAATCCCAGGAAGCGTCTTACTTCCTTTGGATTATGTCGGCGTGGCCAGTTCTTCACTTTCTCCACTTTGTCCGGATCAGGTTCAATCCCTTCCTCGGATACCACATGTCCGACATACTTTACTTTCCGCTGGAACAACGATCACTTCTGTGGCGACAACTTCAACCCTGAATCGGATATTCGCTTATAGACTTTCTCCAAGTTGTCCAGGTGTCCTTCATAGTCCTTGGCAAACACAATCACATCATCAATGTAAACGTAACAGATGGTAGTTTGTAATTCGCCCATCACATCCTTTATCAACCGTTGGTAAGTGGCGGATGCATTGGCCAATCCGAAAGGCATCCGAGTATACTCATAAAATCCCAGGGCCAACAGTGATGGCAGTTCGTTCCTTGTGGTCTTCATGAAGCTCGACTTGATGATAACCGGATTTCATGTCGATGACAGAAAAGTACCGGTAACCAGCCAATGAGTCTAATATCTCGTCCACTCTAGGAAGGGTGTAAGCATCCTTCACTGTCCGTTGGTCTTCCTCACCAACACAACGTTCGATGCCCATGGAGAGTGGGAACGCTGAATAATCCTTGCTGTTGTAAATGGTTCCAAACTTCGTCGAACATAGTTGGTATGATTCTCCGACAACGCTGCTTAAACGGCGTTGAATCATCTAAATATATCCTATGTCTAACCGTGTCTGTATTTCCAATGTCTATATCGCTTGTGGGAAAACTTGTCCCGTATCTCTCTAGCAGCTCCCTTACTTTAATGACCTGACCCTCACTGAGGTCATCTGTGTTTATCGCCACCTTACGGAGAACATCGTCCAGCTCATCAGTCGATGACATCTGGCTGACATCTTCAACCGTCACTGGCCGGAGTTCACACAACAGGGCTCGAGGTTGAATGGTAACGTACCTGTACCTGTACCGCTAGAAGCAAGCTCTGTCTGCACAAATCGCTCATATGGCAACATATGTCCAGCACACTCAATCTTAAGGATAGTGTCCAAGGGCTTGATCTCCAAATGACTAAGATGTTGGGGATAGAACGTTTTGCCGAGCCTGTGTCAAGTAATGCTTTAGCCGAAACATCTTCGACAATAACAGGAACTTCTGTAGTGATTCCAACCAGGTCTGCTGGTTTCCTATCGACTTTCTGGCATGGTTCATACCTCTAAGACCTAACGTTTGCCCGCCGACGTAGGTCTGCTGTCATTTAACGGATTCTGCTTTAAATTATCCAAACGTACTCTGCATCCCAAAGCTATATGTCCTTCCTGGCCACAACGATAACAGGTGGGGTCCGGAAAATCCTTAGCCAAACTCTCAACACCACCATGTCACGGGTTGCGGTAACCTTGGTATGACTTGCGATCTCTGTTGCGTTGACCCCGGGAAGCTGGAGGCTCTCTTCCAAGATTTCGCTGTTCTAACCGGGTGACATCTGCTGCTACATGGTTGATCAGGCTCTTAATCTCGTCCAATTCCGACTAAGGTGGTGGTTTGCTGACCTCATTAGCGGATTTGGCTGATGCAGTCTGTTTCTTCTTTTCCTCTGGTATATGTCATACATGGTATTGCTCCACCCGACGAATTGCAACTCCTAGCTTGTCAAAATCAATGATCCTCTCATACAGATGTCCGGTTATGTTCTTCAGCTTCATCTTGAGTCTTGACCAAAAAATGTTGCGTAGCATAGATTCTTTCCTCGTGTCATCCATGTAAGTGCATTCAGAGGCTTTATTGAACAAGTCTTCCACCCGGCAACTTCATGCTGATACTTCCTCCTCAGGTGCCTGCTTGGCGCTGTAGAATCATGCAAACAACATCTCTGACTGTTCCACTATTCCATACACGCTGTCCATCTTTGCCAAAATCTGTGAAATGCTCGCATCAGGGGATAGTCTGGAGCGTATCTTCAATGCTTCTCCTCTGAGACTACTCCTGATAGTTTGTGAAATGGCCTGGTCTGAGTGCCCCTCCTTCATAATGCCTGCCACTTCACTCCTCCACTACCTTACTACAACAACACTAGTATTGTATAAAAGAAATAATACACACAGGCAAATGAGGCAATACAAACAGTAGTTAAGTAAATATGAACAAAGACTAGAGTATACAGAAAAAAGGCAATAAAAATGATGCTAGTGGTCAGCACATAGTACACTTATCATTCCACACGGCTTCTTTCACAGTCTCAATTCACTACGCTCTTGGGCTGATGTTACTTATTGTTTGAATTTGCGTAGGGGCGAGGTTGGCTTGGTGGGGGAAGATTTATAAATATTATATATCGAAGAAAAGTACATGTTTATATGTATAATATATCTCGAAAAGTATGGGTTGGTGGGGAAAGATATATGCATACATTATATCTCGAAGAAGAGTATATGTAAACTGAATTATATTAAAGGACCACTCGGACCTGGGTTCTGCAAATATTAGCTACCATCTTGTGCAGGTACGGACATTATATATAGTAATTATAGAAGTCAACGCGTACAGTCCTAATCAAATGTTTTCTTATAAATAATATCTAATTTCTGTTCATTGTTGAAGTGTAAGTTCATGTAATATTTGTTATGAGCAGTACAATATAATTATGATCTCGCCAGCCAGGACATAAGTGCATACTAAATGTTGTTACTCTGAGTGAAATAGTATAGAAGATATGCTCAAGATAATTGTTTTCCAAGGACAAGGTCAAAGGTCAAGCATAGGTCACACTGATATTCCTTTCACACTAGAAACTCCACGATCCCAGTATGAACTTGCATACGAATTTTGCTTACTCCAGGTGAAATACTGAAATAGGACGGATTGTAACCAGTCAACGTAATAAACATGTGATTGTAAATCTGAGGTTCCCTGTCAGCAATATCCCATTTAAATACTCCGAAATTTGAGCAAAATAATTATTTGGGATCTTTTCTCTTCTGTCCAAACAACTTTATTCCTAATGTCTCCCTTGACAATGCCTCACTTTTGGCCTTTAGTTGAGCGTTCGCTCCTGTGAGAAAGGCTTTTGGTTCTGTCCCAATACCAGAGTCCTGGGCGCACGCTACAATCGCACAGTATTTCATCGTGCGCACATCGTGTGACGTGCGATCACACAACTGTAGATTTTAGAAGAGACGCTCCGGACAAACATTTTCAAAGAATAATGGTAAGGCACAGGTCTCCGTGACCTACTGCATGTAATGCACACTCCGCCATGCCAATGCACATAACGTCTAGTTACTCAAGGTAAAATACAATAGAAGATATGCGCCGGGCAAACTCTTTAGACAGATAAATGGAGTACAAACCTATGCAGTATGTTTCAGTGAGGTGGCACTATAAAGTCGGCATCAGATCCGCGCTAACACAAGGAGACAAACACGAACATATCACAGCTTCCCAAAACACACACGCATACACTACACGCATGCATCTTGCCCATAGGTGAGGCCGTCCTTAAATTACCATAGCTGTTGATAGGACGTTAAACAATACTAAACCAAACTAAACTAAACGTATTGAATGTTTTAATGTTGAACGTTCGCCTAGTCGTGAAAATCAATGGGTTATGTCCCACGGCCGTGACATGCCAAACTCCTCAAACAGCTGGTTCACCCGTTGTCAGTATAATGTGACCGGGAGGAATGCTGTGCTGTGTGCCTACGGCATAGTAGTTCAGTGAGATAAGTCGGCAACAGATCCGCCCTACCACAAGGAAGCAGGTACACCAACATACCCACACAGAAATGCATACACGCTTACACAACACACATGATGGTACGTCCTTAAATGACCTCAGCTGTTAATTGGACGTTAAACAAAATAAAACCAAACCAAACCTTGGAACTCTAGTATTTGAAAGAAAGTGTACTTTTTGGCTAACACAAAGCTTGGATATCACCAAGTTTGTTAATTTTCTTTTAGTTTACCCGAAATTCTTCTTAGTGACTTTAGGTATTGCACGGATGTTTTACAGCAAACAAATGTACGAAACAAATTGTGAGACTAAGAATAAATAAGATCAGATAGAGTTTGTCACAAAAGAAGCTTTAAATATGAATATTTTTATTGTTGCCAGGAATCTGTATATTTCTTTAAAATTCATTAATAAATTTTCGCGTGCGACTATTTACGCGCTTACTTACTGAACGCGCCAAAAACGCGAATATTTTCACGCTGCAAATGTCCATATTACAGAACACAGTCGGTCTATCATATCGCATTTGTCTTACTGTAGTAATTTCTTGTTAACTACACGACATGTAACACAGCAGCCGTAAACACACGTAACAGTTGATAATAGTAATGTTTATTCATAACCGTGATTCAACAATTTCATTACAAGTACATGTACAGGTGATTACAACATCTCATCTACGTATGGTAATACTTCACGTTGGGTCTCTGACTTCGAGTAACGAGGCCTGTGCCAAACCATGGCCAAACTCCCCATACTCTGTCTCTCTGAACCTGGGTCCAAATTGACCTGTCCTTCTCATGGCCAATTCCCGACTCCCTGAATAGGGGATGCACCCCGTTAAATACGTTTTCCAGTACATATGTTACAGCCATCATCTGTAAACCTGTCATAAATACTTGGTACATACCTATGTGACTACAATTACTCTAAGTATTACACGTTCCCTTTAGGCTACTGTTGCTTGACTCATTACTGATCCCGACTAGCACACGACTTACAATCCAAAGATAGGATGAATCTAACATAAATTAATCCAATTAATGCAATCAAAATGAAAGTTATGAGAGAATCCCCTAAAACATTTCAGGCCGCCTACGATTGCGCAGTATCAGGTGCTAAAGGGCTAACATTTAATCGCGACGCGACAGGAAATGACGTGATGGGACGGTAGGAGAAAGACATGGGCAACACTATAAACCCTTCATTTTATGGTGTGGCATAAACACTTTCTATCCACTTTGTTTGTTCGGGTTACTAGCATCGTAACATTTTTTATCAAAAAGAACTTTTCATAATTATTAATCAAAAAAGGATATATGATATATCCATATTGCTTTCTATTTACCCTAACATCAGTTATTTTTGTTGTAGTTTCATAGGATCGAGATATGGAGCGGATTGGGATACGGAGGGATATGCCTTACCTACCCTGGTCGACCTAACTGGATTCGCAGACGAGGATACGGCATTGATAGAAGAAATACTGCGTCTGATATTTTACGGCAAAATAAAAGAGGAATCTAATATCAACGAAATATTCAGGTTTGGGTATATGGTTATAAAGCAATGGGCTATTCGGTAAAAGTATGATTGGGTCTTTAAACCTTGATAATGTTACGATCTGACAGTCTACTAGGATGTAAATGACATCCATGTTATAAACTTCAGTTGCCAAGACGTATTGATAATAGTAAATGTTATATGCGTATTCATCAGGTACATCTGTAACCCGACCATGCTGTTCAAAACTGTCAAACTTATATCAGACCTTATATCAGACTTTGAAATGAAAACGAAGCTGCCAACATCCTTTTTTATTATTAAAAATAGACTGTTTTGTATGCAAACCCATTTGAAACATTGGAACTTCTTGCAAATAATAAAAAAAAAAAATATTGAGGGAACAGGAGAAACCTGGCGCAGTGTTGTGATTGGTGCCTTCGACATGGTATTTCAGTGAGATAGCGCTATAAAGTAGGCTTCAGATCAGCTCCATCTCAAGGAGGCAAATGCATATAATGTCTCCGGCACACGTACAGAACACCCATGGTGCCACGTCCATGAATGACCAAAGCTGCCGATAGGACGCTTAAACCAGTGCAACCAACAATTCTTCAATAATCAATATACTGTAAACAATTACTTGTAGCAAAACAATCTGAAGTATTTGGACTCTGAGATAATGAACAGGCAAGGTATTTTAAGGAAGTTCTCCATGTGTTAATGTGTGCTGTAGTCATGGTATATTGGATTGTTTACTCCCTTGAAATAGCGCAAACCTGATGCCGGCTTCAAAGTGCTACCAAACATAAATACCATGCCGAAGACACCCACCACCCGGTGAAAAAATAGTTTACATGTTAATATTTTGTTAAGGAGGGTTTAATAACTACCATACTAAAGATATGTCCAGACTCGGCAAGAGAACTCTACGACATTCTCACTTGGGCAAACGTTTAAGACAAGGGTTTGGCTTGGTTTGGTTTCATTTTGTTTAACGTCTTAGAAACATCTAAAGACGTGCCTCCATGTGTGTTGTGTATGCGAGCCGGTGACGGGGTATGTTGGTATGTTTGCCTCCTTGTGACAGCGCGGAACTGATGCCGACTTTAAAGTGCTATCTCGCTAAAATACCACGCCAAACACGCCCAGCGCAGTATTCCACCTGGTCACATTATACACTATATGGGCGAACCAGTAGTTGCTGTTGCCATTACCCTAAATGCTGAACGTTAATAAGGGAATAAGAACTAGTTTTGAAGATTTTGGTATGTCCAGGCCTGGGGACAGAACAACTTGCCTTCCTCACCTGGGCAAACCAAACCTTGAACGTTAAAGCCAAAAGTGAGATTTTGCTAAGCAAGGTGCTTGGAAATAAAAGGTAGTCAGAAGTAGAAAGAAATTAAAAGATACCAAATGTTGCACTGAATGCAGCAATTGTTTTTGGCCTATTTTGTGTCCCCAAGTAGAGGGCACAAAAACAAATGCCAATTCTACAGGAGGAGGTTCCCAACATTATTTACAATCGTTACAATGGGGGCACAAGATGCATTTAAATTTTCAATCTGATGACCTAGGGTAGAGGGCACAAAAGCAATTCCCAATTATGCAAGAGTTCCACAAAACTGTCTTTTACGACATGCGGTGGGTGGCAGCAGGTATTTTGTTTATTCCAGAATAAACATCACCATATTGCAAATTGATGCAAGCGCTATCTCTTGCAAAGTGTTTTGGTATAAATCTCATCAATTCAAATATTCAGTTTCGCAAAGGATTGGGGTATAGAAGCCTTGCAAACGAAGTATGCTCTCACTCAAACATCAGATGAAAGGAAAATTGACCGGGCTATCTTTGTTGCCTCAGCCATAGAAGAAATTCCAAAAAATTTGATACGATGTTTCCTGAAGGCTGCACAACCAAAAGGGAGGAATTATACACGTGGTAAGGTCATGAAATGTTTATATTTTTGTTGTTTAGGCATAGAATACACAACGAAAAATGATTATAAACATGAACAGGTAACATATAAAATTATTTCACATGATTGCTGTGTAATCGGATACGCTTTTTTTCGTCTTTCTGCTAGATTTGTATAATAAATTGCATTTGTACATGCATTTTGGTATAACACAGTTCAATTAAAATATATTCTCCAATATGTTTCGAACACATTTTTTATTTGTAAACTGTCACCAATATTAAAAAGGTGACATTCAATCCTGAATTATTTGCAATTGTTTATGTCAGGTGTTGCCTTAGAATACTGGTAAGCACCAAAATGATAAATAGCTATATGTAATGCAAAGGAAAGAAAAGATAAAAAAAAAACAACGTCAACTTGGAAAGTTAAAGTTTCAATACTTATATCTTTTTAAAAATACTAACAGTTTTCAGGTAGTTTTGAATTGTAGATATACGATACACGGTTTCGAAAAGAAATACAAAATACGGTATATTATTATTAAAAGATTCTCGTGATGGCTGAAGGTCAATGCAGTCTGATAACAAGTGTTTTACTGTAAATGGTTTGTTACAAGATATGAATTGAGGTTGGAAACGAAATCATTGAGGCTTGTCTTTGCACTTGGTTGGCCCAGCCGAAGACGGAATACAACCACGTCCCGCGTGCTATTATATTATGAACAGATTTCAGGTTTTACGCAGTGTAAGTGGTTGTTTACCAATGACTCTGATGAAGCAGACCACAACAATGTATAGTGCTTAACCTTGATAATCCTTACCTTATTTCGCCTGGGTTCAATGAAAGCATCACTGACCTTGCGGTAGCGAAAAACTTTTCCCCTCGTCAAATATTAATCATGGAGAAACTCTCCAACAAGGGCAATAAAGGTACAATATTATAAACAAAATATCAGTTTGGAGTTTGAAATTTGTGGCTTTGCAATGCAAGCGTAAATATAAAAAAAAAATGTAATATTTGCAGCAATTCCAGTGTTTGGTATCCTGACGCATGCAGATTTAGCTTCTCAACAAATTAGGAAATTTGAAAATCTAGAAGGAAACTTCATTAGAGCCCTGGTAATGATTGGCTTCAAAACCAGATATATGAAATGCTCAAATTATTGCGACGATGTCGACCCAGAGCTAACACGGATGGAAGTGTCTTTGCCAGAACTTGACATCCCTGTCCTGAAATTCATGGTCGAAGTAAGTGAATTGTTTATGATCAATATAACATTCCTTTAACAGGGAAATAGTTTGCCTTTTATAATCAATTCCAACGACAATCATATTTCGGACCAATTTTGAATACCTCCGCCATGTTGAAACACTCCATATCGACTTGACAGTGCAAGTATATCAATAGTTCCCTTGAGTCAATTTAAATTTCCATTAAATAAAAAAGGGTGATCGGGCGGAATGCTTTGTTTTTGTATTGTTGCTCGGCCCATAGACAATTAGAGACCATAATGTTAGGTTGAATTGCGGATAATTTTTTGTTTATTTTTTCAGACCATTTATTTTGCCGAATCCTTTTAATATAATTCGCGATTAAAGGTTTAAAATCACAATTACTTATTTGTGCTGGGAGCATTCGGTGTGGTATTATACCTTGTCTCCAGCACACATATACACGTGCACTCATTCTAAGACACAAATAGAGGCACGTCCTTAGATGACATTAGCTGTCAATAGGACTTAAAACAAAACCTAGCCAAATATAAATTTAAAAACATATATATTAAAGTAAATAGTATCTTTGCACCAGTTACAATCAAGAGTTCCACTTTAAAACGGCTCACAGCTAGAGGTATTAACCCTTCTATTATATGTTTTCTTAATTCTTTGTTGGTACTCATGTGCAGTTTCTTGCATAGTGAAATGTGTAAACTGAAGGATTGACAATGAATGAAACGAGCTCTACTCCTGTAGTCTTTAGCTCATACCGTGGCACAGCGTCTGTCGTCCGTCAATTTTCTTTTAAACGACATCTTTTAAAGAACCGAAAGGCCTATTGTCATGATATTTGGCTCGAAGCTTCAAGGTCCAACAAAATTTACGAATAAAAATGACCTTGACTTGTATTCAAGGTCCTTGGGGCCAACATGTCAAAAAAAATCAAAATAATTCTTCTGAAGAACAGAGAGACCTAGAATCATAATATTAAGTAGGTTGCTTCCAGGGCTAGAGCGCAACGAAGATTGCGTATTAAAATCACCTTGATCTGTATTCACAATTAACAGGGATCAGGAATGTGAACAAGAGGCCCAGAGGGCCTGTATCGCTCACCTTGAAATGTTAGCAAAATATAAGATAGAATAGCCAGATGTTACTGGAAGTGTACATGTATTGCATAGTAAGTCAGGGGTTATATTTGTTTGCAATTGGACAAAATCCTTTCATTCCTAAAGTAAAAGGAGGATTCCGAAGAATTTGCTATGTTTCCCCTATTGGGCCTCGCCCCTCTGCCTCCAGGGGGGTCAGACCCATCGTTGATACAAAATCAGGTCCCCTCCACCCAAGGATGCTTTAGACCAAATACGTACATAATCCTGTCATTCCTACAGTAAAAGAAGGATTTTGAAGCTATTTTTCTAGTTTCCCTATTTGGCCCTGCCTCTCTGCCACAAGGGGGGTCAGACCCACAGTTAATACAAAAATAGTTTCACTCCACCAAAGGGTGCTTAATCACAAATTTAATCAGAATCCTGTCATTCCTACAGAACAGAAGGACTTTGAAGAATTTGCTATGTTTCCCCTATTGGGCCCCGCCCCTCAGGCCCCAGAAGGTTCAAACCCACCGTTTATACAAAATTGATTTCCCTTCCTAATATGATGCTAGTGTTCAAATTTGGTGAAACTACCTTCAACCTAATGGAAGAAGAAAGGATATTTAAGGTATTCCTCTATATCCCTTATTGGACCCCGTCTCTCTGCCCCCAGGGGGGTCAGACCAACCGATTATACAAAAATGGTTATCCTTCACCCAACGGTGCTTCATAGCAAATTTTGACAAAATCCTGTCATTCCTACAGAAGAAGAAGGATTTTGAAGAATTTGCTATGTTTCCCCTAATAAGCCCAGCCCCTCTGTCCCCAGGAGTACCACATCCACCATTTATACAAAATTGAGTCCACTTGGCCTAAGGACTAAATTAGAATGAAATCCCTTAATCCCTACGGTAGAAGTAGGATTTTGAAGGTTGACCTCTATTTCCCCTATGGGGCCCGCCCCTCCGCTCCCACAGGGGCCAAACTCATGTTTATACAAAATTGAGTCCCTTTTGCCAAAGGATACTCCAGACCAAATTGGAATGAAATCCCTTAATCCCTATGGCTGGCGAAGGATTTTAATGATTTACCTCTTTTTCCCCTATTGGGCCCTGTCGCTCTGCCCCAAGGGGGGCCACACCAACTTTTATACAAAATTGAGTCCCCTTGGCCCAAAGATGCTCCTTACTAAATTAGAATAAAATCCCCTAATCCCTACTGTAGAAGAAAATTTTTAAAGGTTTTAGCTCTATTTTCCCTATTGGGCCCCGCCTTTCTGGCCCAATAGGGGCCACACCCACCGTTTATACAAAATTGAGTCCCCTTGGACTGAGGATGCTCTAGACCAAATTTAGTCAAAATCTACTTAGCCGTTCAGGACAAGTAGCGTTTTAAATAAAAAGTTGACGGACGGACGACGGACGCTGCGGTATGGCATAAGTCATACCGCCATAAACACTTAACACGACTCCCTCTGAAGAATGGATAGGCCTAGAATCATTATATAAGTCTGGTGGATTTCGGGATAAAGCCCAACAAAGTTTGCGAATAAAACTTCCCTTTGCATAATTCAAGATGACAGTGGTCAACTATGTGCAAAGAATTCAAACAGCTTCCTGAGAACAAAAATGCCTAAAACCATATGATAGTTAGTTTTATGAAAGTGAGCGCAACAAACTGTGCGAATACAAATGGCCTTGACCTGAATACAAGGTCACAGAGGTGAAATAAATTCGACCTTGGCCCACTTTGAAAGTTAAGTGAGAGATTGATAGCAGGTGAGCAATGCAAGCCTACTGGGCGTCCTGTCTTTGTTTTCATTTTTAGATTAACGGCCATACAACGGTTTGGTTTGGGTTTTTTTTGTTTAACGTCCTATTAACAGTTAAGGTCATCGTTCAACATGAAAGCCAAAAGTAAGGTATAGCCAAGGACGGCGCTAGGAAACGAAAGGTAGTTAGAAAAACCAGAGAAATTCAAAGATCCCAAACATTGCTATGGATGCAGGAGATTAATTATGGTTGCGTCAGGTCCCCAAATGATGGGCACAGACGAAAATCCCGAATTCAGCAGAGGTTCTACATTACTCGTCTTATTCTATAGTGCAGTGGGTAAAAGTAGATGTATACGTTTTCTCATTCCCCGACCTGCATGGTTTATTTCAACAGAACAGAAAATTATTCATCTTCATATTATCATCAGTTTCGTGTGTTAGACGATCTTGTATAGGTTTATTAATGAAATGATGAAGGTGTCTTATATCCCAACATAAATGTTGTATTTTTATCTGTTCCAGGTTTGTGATGCAAGCTATGACATTTCGATTTCGAATCAGACGTATACCCAGGCGATTTTTGCCCAGATCGCAGGTCCGTTGACATCTACACGGAACATCAGCTGCATCTGGATATTTATATGTTTTGTTTTGATTACCATCGTAATAATGATGGTGTCCAGCGCGATGGTTATATTGTCAGTAATGTGAACATCCATTAATCACTTAAGGTAACGTTGTATTCCATCAATTTAACTACTGGTTTTTCGTTGGTGTGCTCAAGACACTTGATGTAATTTACATATATATATCTGATGGCGTTTGTTTTGTCTAAGATAACTTTGGGCTCGCAAAATGTGTGCATCCTTGAAGGACGAAAGATCATAAAAACCGTAGATAAAATGAGTGAATTTTTTTCTTGCTCAACTAATCTGAAAAGGAATATATACGAGACTTCAACCGGACATGCTGTTCAGGTACTTTGAACTTACTGTGAACCTATGATTTTACTGTTTTGATGACTTTGTTCAAAAGGGAGTAATTTGAGCGTTTCAGTGTTTAAAAAAAGACATTCTTTAAAATAAGGATATTTTGCATATCAAAGTGAGCGATAGGGCACTTTAACCCTTGTACTTAAAAAATATATATATTGTTATTTGTACATGATGATAATGTCAGTGTTCAGACAAAATTAGGGACCAACGTACCCAATACAGGAGGCTAGGCTAACATTGAAATTAATTTCAAAATACGATTTTTGACTTTTTTTTTTATAAAGTGTAGGATATTATGCTTTTTAAAACTATGGTCTTGTTTCCGTAATTACCACATTTTTAATCCACTGAAATCAGTTAATAACATGTTTCATAATACTACAGTATATAATTGTAATTTTTGAATTTTGTGTGATATTTAATCAATAAATTTTACGTTTTCACTTTGATTGTTGTGTCCTTTAAATTACTAGGTCAGATGTTATTTTCAGTTACAATAAATGCAAATTGATGGCCTTTTTGAAACAGAAATTCTCATCACCGATTACCCATGTTTTGTTTACATCAGGACAGCGGGACGCTATATGTACTCTTTTAAGCCGTTGATCATTCTACGATGAATATTCTACAATTATTAGACCATAGTTAAAATATATACATAATAATATGTTCTCACCAGCTTTTCAGATGACAGGATATGAAATATAGCAAAGAAAATATTACACAGAACCCAACAAAGCGCCTCTTATAGAAAAGCAATGTAAAAGTTGTTTCGCCCTTAAAAATAGCAAGGTATAAATAGTAGAATTCCTACCTTACACACTGAAGTGTCATCAGTATTCAAAACATGGCCATGAATTCAATATGCATATAAGCATATCAATGTGTCGACAATAAATACACATTCAAAAATACATTACAAACATTGAGGCACTTCGTTAAATGACATTAATTGTAAATAGGACGCTGAACACAATCAAACCAAACCAATCTGCATTATCTTCTGTTCAGGTGCCATTGACAGAAATCACAAATACATCCCATCGTACCATCTTCATCGGTTCTATGCATTATTGATCCACAGAGTAATATAACAGTAAACGCGCCCAATGGTAATTTTTGATCAAACTGTTGTGTACGTATTTTTCTTAAAAGGTTTAGATTTAGATTTGATCATATCTAACGTCCTATTAACAGCTTAGGTCATATAAGGACGTGGCTCCATGTGTGTTGTCTAAGCGTGCTTGCGTGTATGCAGGATACAGGATATGTTGGTGTACGTGCTTCCTATGATTGTTTGTTTGTTTGTTTGATTTTGTTTAACGTCCTATTAACAGCTAAGGTCATTTAAGGACGGCCTCCCCTGTGTGCAAGATGCATGCATGTAGTGTATGTGTGTGTATTTTGGGAGGCTGCGATATGTTCGTGTTTGTCTTCTTGTAATAGCGCGGAACTGATGCCGACTTTATAGTGCTACCTCACTGAAACATACTGCCGAAGACACCCAGCAGGACGCCCCACCCGGTCACATTATACTGACAACGGGCGAACCAGTCGTCCCACTCCTTATTTGCTGAGCGTTAAGCAGGAGTAGAAACTGCCATTTTTAAAGACTTTGGTATGTCTCGGCCAGGGGACAGAACCCAAAGCCTTCCTCACAGGGGCGAACGCTCAACAAATGGCCAAAAGTGAGGCATTGTCAAGGGAGACATTAGGAAAAAGAAAGTTATTTAGAAAGGAGAGAAGAGATAAGGTCCCAAATTTAGTCGCCTCTTACGATCATGCAATTGGGGGCAGCAGGTACAATTCTTACGCCCTACCTGCTAGCGCAGATCTGTTGCCGACAGCAGCACAGCATTTCGCCCGGTCACATTATACAGACAACGGGTGAACCAGTAAAAGTAGAAAAAAAAGGTGGGGGGTCAAATAGTGGGTGAAAGCAGGTGTTTCCTTTTCTCCCTCCCCGAACTCCAGGGTGGCAATTCAACTACGAGTTGTGAACATAACCACACACGACAGCACGTCTTTATATGACCTGGGTTGTTGAAACATCCCAACATCGAGGCTAGGATCCCGACAATCGATTAGAAGAATCACCTTTCTTATGTATTTAAGGTTTGTCAGGTATTTTTGTCGCAAAAAAAAACAATCATGCGTGACTATTTGTGTGTTTAAACTTACAGTTACAGAATAGTCATTAATAATTCATTACGAGAACAACTTTCACGTCTTGAATGTATTTCGATAATGGCGTAGTGACACGGGACTTTTGCTGCATACTACTTTTTCTCTTTCCAATGGCGCAAAGGGCAGACTGTCGGACTTACAAAACAAGGACACCAAGCGAAGATATTAGAATAATAATAATGAACCTTGCCACGATAAATCTGATCATTTGATATAAAATATATTTTACGTCAGTATATCGATCAACATATCTAAAATATAGCTTATGCTTTTCAACTCATTCATGACCATAGCACGGATTTTGTTTTTGACAACCACTGGCTTGTGTCTAGTACACGTGTCGCGCATGACTACGAAATCAAACGTTTGTGATGTATAGATTTACTCCAGATGTACACGAGATGTAAAAATATTTAACTCGTACAAGAAATAATGATTTTGTGGGTGAATACTGAATGCCTTCTTGGGTACGGATTTTCAGTAAAATAACAATATTAAGTCGGCACCAGATCCGCACAGAGGAGGCAACATTCCAAATGCAGTAATACACAGCACACATGAAAGCGCGTCCTTAAATGAGATCTTTAGGTCAGGGATCGAGAAAAATAATAAACCTGTTGCTATTTATATAGGCGGCTTATATTGGAAACCCCTGCAGAACGGTGGAATTAAAAAAAAACACACAAAAATCTGCTTCACTCATTGCAATATTTGGGATCTTAATATATCTATATTTTTGTTCTAACTACCTTTTATTTTCTATAGCCTTGCTTGACAAAACCTCACTTTTGGTTCTTATGTTGTACGTTCGCCCAGGTGAGGAAGACAATGGGTTCTGTCCCCAGGCCAGGACATACCAAAATCTTTTAAAAAAATAGTAGGTATTATTCCCTGTTTAACGTTCAACATTTGAGGTAATGGGCGGAATGCTGGGCTAGGTGCTTTCGGCATGGCTTTTCAGTTAAAAAACACTATAAAGTCGGCATCAGATCCACGTTATCCCAATGAGGCTTATATCCGGCAAACATACACACACGTGCACGCTTACACAACACTCATGGAGGCACGTCCGTTAAAAACCGTAGCTGTTAATACAATTAAACCAAACCTTAACCTATTTCAAAGCTGTTCCAAAAGTTATGAGTCACCATAGCCATTTTTGATATTCACAGGTTGATATTTGTCTTTTTCCTTTTCATTTGTTAAACGTCATTTTACCTAATGTTTTGTCGACCATATATTTGCCTTTATACTTCTTCCGGGTTGATGGCCGGCTACGCATTACCCTTGTAATTGTATGGTTCCACGGAGTCTATAAAAATTCCCGTCACATTAATCGTTAATACAGAAACTTTCTCAACCAAATCTAGAACGTAGTATCATCTGCGTCCGGATTGGTGTATACCAATAGAGATTTGTTTCTTGAAGAATGCTTTCCTTGGTCTGCTGCGCAGGACCAGCGCTTTATATGCTAGTGTTCATACCATACAAGACAAGAGCTATTTGTCATACCCATTGTGTTTCGAATCGTGTATTGATTAGACAATCAATCTGCTGTGAACCTCTATAACTAGATCTAAAAGCCAAAGTGAAGATTGTATTAGACCATTACGTTTTTTCGGACTGTTTAAGTTTATACTTTCCACGGGACCATGGATATCTTGGCTGTCATCCTGTGGAATTGGATCATGGTGGGCAAAGGTATATCTCCTTTTTTTTCTTGTCAGGAAACATTCTTTCTTATGAAGTAATTTTGAAATTTGTCTGTGGTGTCTATTTACCACGAGTTAATATTGACACTAGCATTTCATTAGAAATCAAACAAAAGAAGGCATTTTTTTATGTAATATGTTGGATGTGAGCTACGCCGTCAATATGTGTTTGTCGTATATCCGTTATGTGATATCCCATGTTAAAATGACAGATGAGCTTATGCTGTGGAACCACCGTTCGTCAGTCAATTCTAAATGCTCATTTAAAACGCTACCAGTCTAGTTAGTGTTGCCCTCCTGGACCCGAATGACGAACCCTTGGGGGCGGGAACAGAGGTTAATCACTTAAAATACCCCTGCAAGTCGCGGATCTATTTGGGAACACAAAAGCGACCAAAGTAAGTCAGCTGCATCTATCGCAACATTTGGGATCTTTATCTTTTTACTTCTATATATCTCAGCGCCTTGCTCGGCAATACCTCATTTCCGGCTTTTATGTTGAGCGTTCGCACAGGTGAGGAAGGCATTGATTCTGTCCCAAGACCGGGACATAGCAAAGTCCTGAAAAATGGTTGTTGTTATACACAGCTTAACGTTCAGCATAGAGAGTAATGGCAACAACTAGTTCAACCTTTGTCATTATACTGCGACCGGACGGAATGCTATCCTGGATGGTTTCGGCATGGTGTTTTAGTAAAATAGCACTAAAAAGTCGGCATCAGATCCGCGCTATTATTAGGAGTTAAGTACACCAACATTTCCCCTTCCCGCACACATACACTCTTGCACGCTTACACAACACACATGACGGCACGTCCTTAAATGACCTTAGATGTTAATAGGACGTTAAACAACCTCGAACCAAACCAAACCAAACTAACATCATTCTTCTTAAGGAATAAATTAATTTTGACCAACTTTGTTTAGGAACATCCAAGGATACTCAAGTTGTATAAACACAGTCCATCAACCTAGCCAACCCTCCACCCCATTGACTGAATGGCGGGGCCCAATAAGGGAAATAGAGGTGAAAAAGTCTTGTTTTCTTTATTCCCCATATAAATAACAGTATTAGATCCTACCTGCTCTCAAATACTCATGGGCCTTGATGACTCAACTATATGGCTTGGCATAGGTTTCATTAGTTTTCCCATCTTATTAACAGAAATGGTCGTTTAAGGCCGTAACTATTTGTGTGTAATGTAGGCAAGCATGTATATCTACTAGAGGCAGGGTACATTGGTGTATTTTAATCTTTATGGAAGCGATGTTTTAGAGTGTTATCTTACTGATATACCATGATATAGGCATTCAGTATTTCACCAGGACATATTATACTGACAATATGAACACCTTGTTGCGGACTGACTGGCATTTCTGCATTTATAAATTCAGCATCATACCTGCGTTATCGCAATGAGGCGATACACAACTAGCACTGCCCCCAGCACTCAAACACATAGTTCTAATATGTCCTTA